CCTTATAGGAAGGTTTTTAATAACTTCAACTTCTTTAATTGACACACAACTACTCAAATTTTAAAGCCATGAATTTCCCTCTAAATTTTAGTGGCACCTCACAAATTTTGATAAGTTGACCATTATCTCTTTAAATATCTCTCTGCACCCTTATTTTTCCAGAACTCCAACTATATATGACTTTTTCTTTTGCATGTTCATCTGTGTGTTCTGATTTTTCTTACCACTGTTTTCTCTTTTTGTGTTTCAGTTCATTTATTTTGACCTATATTCAGTTCCATTGATACTTTCCTTAGGTGTGTTCAATCTGCTAATGAGCCCCTGGAAGGAATTCTCCATCGATAATGTATTATAGAAATATATATTCTTATATTTCTACCATTCTATTTGACTCTATTGTATCATTTCCATCACTCTGCTGAAATTCTCCAACTGTTTATGCATATTGTTTTCCACTAGACCCTGTAACATGTTAATTATAGTTACTTTAAAGTATTTGTCTGATTGTTCTAACATCCAAGTAATTTATGTAGTTTTGTTTCATCTACTGACATCTTTTCTGTACGGATCCTATTTTTGACTGAATGCTAAACATTATGTGGAGAACAGTAGAGACTGAGCTAAATTGTATTCCTACATGAAAACGGGCACTGCTCTTCTTTTATTATGTTATTAGTATGTAGGATTGATACAATCTAGACAATGTGTGAGCTTTATTTGTGTTTTGTGATTGCTATTACCATCAGTGCCCTTCAGGCTTCAAATTGCCTTGGTTAGCTACTATTGCCTGTACTAACAATGGGGCCTGTGGTACCAGAGTTTCTGTTTTTTTTTCTCAGTGTACCTGCTTCACCCTCTGCTTTCTATAATCCCTGCTTTCCTATGCCAGAGAGACAGTCCCTCCCAGTATGTTTGTCTCTCCCCAGGCAGTATTCTATTCTTGTGTATTACTCAAAATGGGCTCATTTTTATAGTTGGGTAAAGGAAGTTCTGTGCTGTAATGCTCAATGACAGCTTTAGGCATATCGTGTTCTTAAGCCTCAAGACTGGAACTTTCTGAGAATTCCTGCCCTGCCACATGACAGTCAAACTATGCTTTGTATCTGCAGTTACTCTTTTACAGGAAAGAGTTTTCTGTTCCTCCTCCCCGTGGTGTCTGAGCTCCGACTGATGTCCATAGAGGATGGACTCAAGATGGGGTTTCCTATCCCTTCCCCAGGAGCAAACAGTTTTTGCAAAAGGATCATCAGCTGGGTCTACCTTTCCCCCAGAGGCAGGCTGCTTTTCTTTCTCTCCCATTCCACCAAAAGGAAGAGACTTTTTGCCTGGAATCACGGTAACAGAGAGTTTTCTGCCCCTCCTACTATGTCATTTTTCTAGTTCCATCAACCAGTAGCTTAAGCCTATTGCTTCTTATGAGAGAAGGCTCCACAGAAGTGGGCAAGCCTTTGTGCCTGTCTCCCACAAACAGCTGTTACATACTGCACCCCTGAAAAGGCCTTCAGTTTTCTGCTTGGCCTTTAATATATACCCTGAACATGTGTCCATGGAAAACAACTTGCATAATGACTGTTTTGGACTTGTAGAAATTCCAAATTGGCATGATAGCTCACGCGTGGCCTTCAGAATTGGTTAAAATTTTAGCTGATTTATTCTTACCCTCCTATCTACCTCCTTCTCCTGTGTTCTGCCAAAGGCCAAAGCCTATGTGCTCCATCTCTCTTGGAGGAGCCTATTGATCATACTTTGGTATATCAGTATACTTGATCACCTTGCGACCTCAAATCAGGAAAAAATATGATTTTGTATATTATCTGCCTTTTTTCATTGTTACAATGGGACCAAAGTTCTATATTTTAAGCTAAAATGGAACTCCAAATGCTATTTTAAATCTTGAAAGAACAGTTTATAATAACAATAACTACTGAACCTGGGATGAAGATAATTCCAAATTCTCAGTTTGCATCCAAACTCATTAGTTGAATTGGAAATTTTCAGTATGTAAACAGAACTAGAAATTCACTAAGTTTATATAAAAGATGGAAAATGACAAGCTGTTACATCACCATTTAAACATGTATTACTTTGATTTCCATCCACAGCTAAATGGAAGTGGAGAGGTAACCTTAAGCTGTTCTGTTTTGTCTTCCAGAAAGATGCAGAGGAGCAAGGTTTGACACCACTGTCTTCCAACATTCAAAATAGTTTTAAGGTATGCTGAATATCTAAAGTATTACAATGCTGCTCCTTCAGAGGCTATGATACATCAAATATTTCCTAAGACGACCTTGGAATATAGCAATAAAATAACATCATAGCATTATTTATCAGTTTTCATTAACCTAAAGAGTTACAGAGTTAAGAAAGAATTTAGATATGGTTCAGTTCAAACTCCCATAAAATGCAAACATCTCTTCTAAACATTACTGATTGCTTTCATACTGGTAATGCAGAGAAATTCTCTACTAACGGAGATTTTTAAATAAATAATTTTTGCAAAGATTTTTCTCATATTGAACCAAAAGGAGTTTTTCTAAATTTACAACCATTTGTTCTAATTTATCATTCCAGAGATACTTACAGTAAATAGAATCCCCTTTTTCCTTCAAAAGCCATCAAATACTTGAAAAATTATTATCATGTTTCCCTTTTCTTTTTTTTCCAAGCTAAAATGTCCTAGTACTATCCATTACCTTTACTTGTGATCATTAAACTGTAGTGTTAAGGCTCAAGTCTCAGCACTCTGTGTGCTCCACCTGTGACTCAAACTTCTTCCCCCATCATCTAAATACTGATGTTCTGAAATGTTACATGCCCAGCTTTCAATTTTGTTCCCCTTCTATTTATATTCTCTTTCTGGACAATTATATCCAATTCTTGGCCAGGTATCTATGTAAATAATGCCCACATATAGATTTGATATTTCTTGAAATCAGGTACTAATCCTATTGTGTTTTATGTTTGTAGAGTCTTGCACATAGTGAATTGGCCATCACAGGATTTGTCCATTTTAGGCTGATTATTCCCTTCTTAGCAGGGTGTGTGTGTGTGTGTGTTTATTTGTGTGTACATGCATGCACATTTCTGAGGTTAGAAAAAAATGTTTCTATACCATAGTTTTGCATTTGCTTCTGCCTGGCTCTAAAATAGTCACAATACTTTTTGCACAATTTTTAGCACAAATTCCTGCTATCAGTAGAGTGCATTAACCCAACACCCACACGCAATGCAGTTTCTCAGGTCATCGTTTTCGGAACTCAGAGCCCTGTCAATGGAGAGAGGCTTCCTCAAAAGTTGTATTGGTCAGTAGATATTGCTTTTCCTTCTTCCATTTTTGTAGATGACAGTCTATTCGGTGCTAGGGGTTTACTCATGGGTCTCAGCTCCTGATCTAACCCCATACCCTACCTCTACCAACTCATTTATGTCTAAAGTTTCAGCACTTGTCCCACTGTGAGCAGTAAACAACCACTCTATAAGCCTAAGGGCCTAATTCTAGTCTGATTTTTCCACCAGGCCATTGCAGCATCAAAGCTAAAGCTAATGTTCTGGCTTTAAGTTATCTCTTCAAATTTCTGTCAACCAGAAATGTATCCTATCTGTTTTGGTATAAGCTGTGCATTTACATTTTTCTTAGAGTCCTTCTAGTGTTTACAGGAGCCCGTGCTGTGTGTGTGTGTGTGTGTGTGTGTGTGTGTGTGTGTGTGTGTGTGTATTCTCAGTCCAACAGTTGCTGCAGCTAGAACCCCATAGCATTTCTCAATATCCCAATATTAGAAGGCTATGTCTACTCAGTTGGGAGCTCAAGCCATGCATATCAAAAACTATATGCACCACAACCCCACCAAAAGCTTTCCCATTTTGCCTGTGTTTCCTGCTATCCTTGATGGCACCCTAACTTCTTGGTTTCCCAAGAATGAAATTTTGGAATCATTTAAATTCAGCCGTTGTATTGGTCCTCACATCCAGTTAATCACCAAGTTATTTTTACTATTGCAATATTTCACAAAACATATTCTAGCAATCTCAGTAATTCATGAGTGTAATGAGTAAAATATTTATCTTTCAGAATTTTTGTGAAGATTAAATGAAATAAATAGATGAGACAAGAAGCACTGCATGATTAGAGTAAGAGATGGAATAAATTAGTTACTGAGTAATCCAAGTCAATCCAGCATTTGCACTTTAATTAGTAGTATTTTGTGGATTTCCACAAATTCACATGTCCCGTATCTACTTAGAATGTATGAATGAAAACTAAACATAGCACAATACATACCCTTCTCAGTTTTTATGACTTTAAAATTTTCACTTTATTAGCTGTCTGGGTATGAAAATGTCTGTTTTCTCTTACAAATTGAAAAATTTGAATAGATAAAAAATTAGTTTACAAAAAAGAACTAATTTAGCTTTAGCCCTTATTCTCTGTATTTTATCTTACCATTACAATAATCCTAGAATAATTATTGATTGCTCCAATTTTACAGAACAGGGAACTTAGACCCACAGAAGTTAAATGATTTGATCATGGTTACAGGTAGAAATGGAGAAGAATCAGGATTTCAACAAATAATCTGACTGTTGAGATGAAAATAGAGTCTACTATATTGTTCTGAATAAGTACATTAAAAACATATTAATATGGGTTGCTCTCTTTTGGGAAGTCCAATCTGTCAAGTCCAGTCTCAACTGTGGTACCCAAAACTAAACTCCAGTTCAGATTACATACTTGGAAATTTTGTGGGACTCTTAACTTTTTAGTTATGGAGAGTATATGTCTTTCACTCTAATTTAATGATGAATTAGATCTTTTGGCAGCCATGTCGTACTATTGACTCATATTGAATTCACACAAAAATAAAACAACTGATTTCTTTCCATATGAATTACTCATAAATTTTTCTTTTTCATTTTATAATTGAATAGTTGTAATTTCTTCATCTGTGAAAGACTTAAAATGTATCCCAATTAAATTGCATCTTTTTACTTTCCATCTACAGCAAAATGTGGATAAAATCATTGAAGAAGTTAAAAATATATGCAGTGTTCTAGGGTGTGTGGAGACCAAACAAATTACAGATGCTGTAAATGAATTAAATCTACTTCTTCAGAGAAAAGTAAAGGTAAATATACTCATTTATTACACAGTAATTATTTTAAACCTGAGTTCAATAATTAATTAAGCAGAGTGAAAAACTTTTGACTAACTAGTATGTGTTTGTGTGTGTGTGTGTGTGTGTGTGTACATATTTCAATCACTTGGGAGTAATGGAAACTTGATACTATTATACCAAAAAGATTTAAAGTAAAAGGAAATTTGTTATACCTTTGAAGTTTGTAACTACAGTAATCTTTCAAATGAGACTGAAATCAGTCCTACAGTTCTACCTAGATGAAGGTGCCTACAAAATAATATTCACAAACAATTATTCATACACTATTATTGGCTCTCAGGGGCACCAATACATGCAGGTATAAGTGTCCACACTTGTGAGGACAAACACATATTCAGGAAAGATCAATTTTTGTGATATTTTGTGATTGCAATGCACACTTCTCCTATGATCCCACATCCTATAATGATTTCCTGTAAAAAATGAATAATATGTGACTTTTTAAAAAAAATTCAAAAGTCTGATGTAGAATTACTGTGATTTGTGATTATTGCCTAAGAAAAAGACTAGGAAATCTGGCCATGATGAATCAATTCAATCTTCTTAGTAGTTCAGTAAATGATAAATCAAAAAGATTTGTGCATTGAAATAAAAAAGTTTCATTTATATATTACTCCATTTAATTTACTATTTTATTTCAATTCATATTGACAGCAATAACATGAGATTGATATTTTAATGTTCATTTTATTATTAAAATATGATGCTTAGAATGCTTGGGTGAAGAGAATTAGATTAGTAAGTGGCAAAATAGAGATTTGAACCCAGGCCTCTATACCACTCCAGTATATGCAAAATTTCATAAGAGAGAATTATATGCATTTCTTATCCACATGGAAAGGAACAACAGAGATTATATTACCTTGAATATGCCAGTCTGATTATTTGGAAAGTGCACAATTATATAAATCATTGTGCTTACTGTTTCAGACAGGTAATGGAAAAAAATCAGTAATTTCTTAATGTAGGATTTCCTTTTTCAGCAATATATTTTTCTGTGTGTGATTTTGATAGTAATAATGACTATAGAAATTTAAATACCTTATTTACATTATACAAACACTGACAATGATGACTCTGAGGAAGAATGGAGTCACACCACCAAAACATTTTTAAATATCATGTATTAAAAACTAAAAGCACAAAGCAATGAATAAATCAAATCTAAACAATATAATCAATAAATTACAAAATTCAAAGTCTGAGATCGATATGTGTTTATTTCCTTAAAGTTTCCCTAATCGGGAAATACCTACTTTTGTGCCTTCTAATTATAGAAGGACTGACAAAACTAGTCTCCAAAACTGTTTCTCTATATAGAAATTAAAATCCACAGTCTTCACAAATGATAAGGTAGGAAATCTGATGTGATAACATTTCATCTGAACATATTTTTCCATTCTGTGTCAGAATGGGAAAACTATAGTATAGACTTGAAAAGCCTATCACCAATGTGGTTTGAAAATAAATATTTTATACTCAAAATATTTGGGAATTAAATGGTGCTAAGAAGAACCTCCCAATAGCTGAAGTTAAGTCAGGATCAGAAGGTATGAGAATTAATTAACAGCAAGCAAGTAGTTTCTCTTAGATTATCACGTTTTGGAGACATTACAAGCACCTACAGCTGATGATAAAATGCAAAGAGCTTAGGGTCATGCGAACATGATTTAAATTCAATCTATCACTTTCTAGCTGTCATCATTTGGAAAATTAATTCACATCTCTGATTTCAGTTTTCCTTATCTCTAGAACACAAAAATAAAACATAATTTGCAGGTTTAAAGGACCCAGGTGTTATTCAAGTCATTAACAGTATTGGAGATAATGGTGATAGTGCTGGCTGTAGTTTTTCAGAATCTTTCCCACATGGCCAAGATGAAAATTTTAATTTATACAAGCATACCACTTTGGTCCCCATTATTTCAGGGCCATTGTTTATGACAAGCCTCATGACAAATGTGAGCTTTTGCCAGTGGAGTAGACAAGATGTATGCATGGTCAACATAAGTCTTTCCATTTGTTAAGACCATTGTTGTTCAATTTTTAAGGACTACACTCAGGAATCAGAAGAAACAAACAACTGATCAAAGAATAAGGAAAATCAAATTTTAGCAGGAAGCACTTTAAGTGATACTAAAGTATGACTAGACATAAAAAGCTTTATCTTTAAAACATTCATTTTTCTGAAACTCCCTGAAAGAAGAAATGTCAAACTTTCAATATAGCTGAAGCCAAATGAATCCTTCAAGGAGAAATTGAGTATCTCCTAGGAAAGCTATGAATAATTATAATTCTCAAGAAAAGCTCATATTCACATTTCATATTTCTTATATATTTAGAGTACTAAATCATATGTGATTATTTATGCACAGAAATGAAGAAAAGAGTTCACAATTATCAGTCTTATTTAAATATATGGCAATGGCCAAAACAGATTGTTCAATTATCCCTTAATGAACAGATTCTTATTCTGAGCACACTTTAAAAATTCACTTATCCTACATCAATCTTCATTCAAATTTTCTGTTCATTTCTTTTTCCATTCTGTCTTAACTAGGAGCCCACCTATATAAGAATGGCTGTAAAAAGTAAGTGCATTTTACAGAATTTATGCAGTCACTGCAGTTAACAAAGCCAACGTAGTTCAGTCTATCCACCTACCACAAACCTACGATTAAAGAAATACTGAGAAATAAGAGTCTTCTGCCAAAAAACTCAAATTTGAGAAGCTTTCCTTTTTCTTGGCTGCATTTTTGGTCAACTTGCAAGAGACTGTTTCCTGCCATACAGGAAAGTAGTTAGGTATTCATTAAATATAAGACTTGGCAAGATGAAGAATTACATCACAAATGTGCTTGTACTCCAGTTCATGCTCCCACTCAGCACTGGAAACAATTCTCCATCCTTCAAAATTATATTCCGGAAGTTCACATAATATATTTCCATTAAATGTTCACACAATAAATGAATCACAAAGTGAAAAACAAGGTCTTACACAGTCCTGTAGGTAGATGTCATGGTGATTTTAAAATACAAGTTTATATTTCATAATAAACTGAATCCAGTCAAGTCAGGCTAACATCTTTAATAGTCTCATTCACCTGGATGGTGTGAAGATCTTATGTGTAGTTGTTAATTCTGTTGGTTGAAACTACTCAGATGAAATATTTTCCCTGAGAGAAATGTTTCTGAAAAGGTGCTTGTGAACAATGTTTTTTAAATGAAATGAAATGAAATGAAAAGTTGTATATAAATGTAATTCATTTTAAACACAGTAAGTGTTCTCTCTCTAAAGAAATACTGCAGCAAATTCTTTGTTACAGGTAAACAATGATTCCCTAATTTATTTGAGAAATTGGGTTTTTCATTAATTGGATTTTCTTAAAACCAAACTTTTTAAAAGTTTGTCAAAGCAAAATTTTTAAAAAGTTAGTGTCAATTATGATAGGTCTTATTAGAAAATCAAATTTGCTTTTGGACTGAAACTATTTTTAGTGAATCTGTGGATCACCTTATACAGTTTCAGGACAACAAAGTTATAACCAGCAAATTCTAAAGAACTAAAGTAATTTTAGGCCTCCAACAAAGGTAAACATAAACAAATAAGTAAACAAAACCACCATAAAAATGGATGTGAATTCAAACAAACAAAAATTTCAGAGTTCTTTTCTTAAATTTAGAATATAATTTCAAGTGTTATACTGTCAGTTTTTTAAAGAATCTCCTAAAAATAAAGAAATAAATGAAACTATATAGTGAATCTATATGATCTGCCTACTATCATCCAGCCCTTCTTTTGGTGGAACCCAATGTTTGCCTCTAAATGACTGCTAATAACAATAATTGGATGTGCTAAACAGACAGAATTAGAAATGTACTTACATCAGAAGATTAGTCACTACAGTGGAAGAGGGACTGAGTTCAGGTGGTATCTGTAGAACTGTCCTAATAATACTAAAAAGGTTTAGCTTATAGAAATTTCTTTTTTAAAAAATCAAACTGTTCATTACAACATTCAGAAGGCTTTTCTTTCATTTTACAATTTAGATTTCCTCTGTTTATTATATATATATATATAACCCTAAGGAATACTTTGCCTTTTTATCATGCCAGAGATATACAACCCCAAGAAATGCTTTGCCTTTTTATCATGCCAGAGAAATTCCAGCGTTTGGATTTTGGATATTATCAGCTTGACTGTTTTGAGAATTTGTTTTCTGAATAACAAGTATGTCTTTGCACCTATTTTTCTTTTTCAGAATTTTCATCAAAATTCAGAGACTTCAGCAAAAGGTAAAACATGCATGTAGAAATACTTTCTAGAAAAGAGAAGCTAGTTATAAAAGGCAAATAATTTAATATTTTCATTGAAACTTTATGGTCATACACACACACACACACACACTTTAATTGACGGAAAACTGCCTTGCTAAAATTCTTTTTATTTAAGAAGGTGAGTATTCTGCAAACGAATGAATATCCACACTCTCTAAACTTTTAGCCTGAGGCTAAAAAAAATGGTAAATCAAGAGATCTATAAAAATTAAACGAATACTGAAAATATCTTTATAACTATTCCAAGAAACTACAGTATTTTATTTTGCTAAATATATTTTGAAGTAAGAAAAGTCAAAAAAGTAGCAGATGTCCTTCTTCAAAGTCACTAATTTCAAATTTTATTTCAAGCTCTATAAAAGACCAATCTAACATAAAAGGTGGGACGATTAGGAGGAACAGTTAGTGTTCACAGAGGCTCTGAGCCCATAAAACTGCAGGGCACAGGAGGGCTCTGCCTCTGGAGAGACCCAGTGGATGTGTGATCATGTGGTGTAAAGCAGAGTCTGGCTTTTGGATACAACCAGAACTCGTTTTAAATTTCAACTCTGCCACTTTTTGACTGTCATATTAGAGAATTAAACTCCTTGATCCTCAGTTTCCCTGATATGCATAAAAGTATGACAGTATTTAATGTGCATTGTGTGCATAGGGTTGTTCTTGTTTGCACAGACAAGATGGTATTTGGCTTATGAACACTGAGTTTTTTCAAGGAAACTGATGCACAGATGTTCAACTAATACCCCTGAATTCAGAGGTGACAGTGAAATGCAAATGATAATCCTGACTTGCCCTCCATACGTGTTTTCAGTAGAAAGGTATAAACATAGAAATATCCTATCAACTCTAATTCTCACCACTGAAAAGAAGACATTTAATTATATTTGAAGAACACCTCCACTTCACTTCACAGAGGAGAATGGGATGTCAGAGGATTTGGAGAAAAAAACCTATGCTAGTGCAAAAATCGCTATTTCAAGCATTCATAAACTTCCAGAGATGGACACCCCTAACTGGTTAAGTCATAGAAAAAGGAGTGAACATGCTTGGGAATGTTGGAATAAAATTCCCTCATCCCATACTCCTCAGGGGTTGGGACTATGAGAGCCCACAAAACTTCTTAACAATGTTCCCAAAAACTTATCTTCTATGCTAAATCATCAGATTCTAATTAATGCATTTGAATGGAATACATTTGGTCACTTTTTCTTTACTTCATGATAGTGTAACTCTTTTTCCAGAGCAAAATCAGATGTGATAAACATTATTTCTCCCTATTTCACCACCAACCTCAGTATCTTGAGCACTTAATACATTTCTGATGGTATATGAAATGTATTCTTTATCCACAGTTCTGGAAACGAAGCATAATGCATAAGCACACATTTCCATACTACATCAAAAAAGCAAATTATAACCAAGAATTGTATTTCTGCACAAAAATTATAGGTTGAGTAACTATCCAAATAAGAATCTCCACAAAATATACTGGGATTTGAATTAATAAGATCCCTGACCCAGCTTTATGATTTACTTTAGATGTATATTCATTTGCACAAAACAGGGAATTAGTAGCAAGAAGTTTGTGCTCCCCGTTTCAGAGTACCAACAGTACAATTTGGGGACAGAGAAACAAGATATTTCTATAAATTTATAATTCTCTGCCTCCTCTTGTTCAGAAGAATCCCTGCTGGTTGGCCTCCAGAGTTTGATGATGCCTCTTTAAAGACTATTTTTAGGCTGATTTACTCTTCTGTTTCATTAAGTGTTCCTGCTAATTTCTCAGAGAATTTTAATTAGAGTTCATTCACTCAGCTTGTCCCCTCAGGCTGTTCCAACGAAAAGGCCCAATTTTAGAAATAACAGCAAATAAGTAAAATTTGGCCATCTTATGAATTTTGTACAAATTTATGAATAACTAAGTGAATAATAGCATATGTTGAACAACAACAATAAATGTTTAATTATGGACGGAGCTACTGAGGGACGGGATGTGGGCAGAAGATCCACGCTGAAGCTGGCTTCTTTCCTTGAGCATCCAAATGCCTGAGCACTCGAACACTGCAGAGGAAAGAGCTAGTTCTTGGCACTAGTTTCCTTTCAGAACAACTAGACACCAGATTGCAAGTTATGTTTCAGAAACCACTTATGAAGAAGTGCATGTGTTTGAGTAAACAACACTTCTGGGTGACTTGACCCTGAGCATGGTGGGATCAAATCCATCAAATAAATCTTAAGAACATGAAATCCGGATGTGCTGGCTTTACTGTGTCAACACTCCTCAGCGGCCCGGCTCACCTGCCAGGCGCCTTCGGCCGTGTGAGCGGGGACCCTGTGCCCAGGGTGGCGTCTGGGAGCCCACCTGGGACACGGGGAAACCACTGTACCTGGTCAACCTGAAGAAGGGGAACCTGGAATCTGATGGAGAAGAACTGGCTGCAGGCTGGACGTCTCCAAAGTCAAGGCCACGTCGTCCTTGTCGGGCACTCGCAGAACCATCGGGAAGTCGTCCTGTAAAACGTCGGCTCTCTGGCTTAGGGAGTCAATAAGCTGAACTAGCTGGTCTCCTACTTCCAAGTTTTGGGCTGAAGTTTAACAGAATCGTCCATTTCTCCATGACCCGAAGAGTAGAAACCACCGGCAGCATCAGCGAACACAGGCCAGGCGCCCGCAAGTCTGCACGGCCAGCGCGGGCCTCGAGGAGCGCGGGAGGCTGTGCAGCGACCCGGGGGCGGCGCCCGAATCCACGCGCTTCCGGAAGCACCTGCGGCGGCGGACGCCGCGCCGCCCGACGGGGACGGGCATTTCCGGCGCCCAGCGGAGCGCAGGGCCCGCAGGGAGCCTCTGCGGAAGGCCGCCTCCACGCGCCGCCCTCGTCAGCCCCGGGCCCAGCTCCGGCGGGGCTGCCGAGGGCGCGCAGCTCCCCTCTCCCGGGCTTCGCTGCGGTTACCGGGCGTTCGTGCCGGACGAGGCCCCGGAACGCGGCGCTGGGGACCTGCCCTGGGGCCCGGGCTGGAGAAGGCCCACGTTCAGAGCAGCCTGTTTCTTTCTCAGGGTTCTCCTCCTGAGCAAATATTTCATGACAGGCCTGTGGGGCTTAAGGAGGCCTGTTCGGGGTTTGGACGAGGCCCGACAGATTCTGTCACTATGGGTGGCGGGGCAGATCTGCGTGTAGCTGGCTGTGTGACACCCCCTGAGGCTCCTTCAGCAAAGCCTGTCCGACTTAGGGGACGCCCAGGGGACAGCCGGACTTCCATTCATAATTTGCTTCATGCATTCTTTACATTTCTAAAAACCTTTTTGTCATTTAAATATTTGTCAAAGATTTTCATGTGAGTAAAAAAATAATTTTTGAGCTTTTTATATTCGAGTTTATTACTCATTTAACTCTTAAAACGCTACTATAGTTGAATAGTAGAAGAAAAACAATTGCTACATAATAGAAGAAAATATTATGATTTTTTGCTCATTCACTACTGTGTATAAAACGCCCGTGGTGTCATTCACTGGTCCTGTTAAGAGGCCTGACACTGAATACCACGCCTAAAATGATGTGAGTCATCCGCACAAGCTTCTCTATTGCAATGGCCCCAATCTTTCCTGATCTGTGTCAAAGTCCACCAGTTCTGCGTGGTCTATCTCATCAGTCCCTTCTACTTCTTTTCGGGTACGATTTTTTCAAGCCAGGAGAGTTTACTGGGAGAAAGAAAGCCATTCTCAAGAAAATTTACCTTAAATATAATAATTAGGCAAGCCTTTTCCTGTGATCTAAGATAAATTGGCATGCCTTCATTTAGCATGCATTTGAATATTGTTAGCCCTGTGTTTAGTCATTTTTCTTCCTTTATAACAAGTCATTTTTAGGAATAATCAGTAGACTCCCTTTGAATAAATAATGGTAAAACTCTAGTAAGGCTTTGATTTTGGAAAGATTTAGTAAACATCATAAATGTTTCATTTCAAAGTTATTTCAGATCCCAGCCTTCTACTATTACTGTTCTCTTTTTATAGCAGCACAATGTGTATGATTACTATTCAGTTAGTGGTAAACATCATAGCTTAATCAAATTTGTTGTGATTGATTCTTTAGATGGGATTTGTTTGAAGTACTTACAGTCATACAAAAAACATCTTCCTTGTCTGAAATTAACTAAATGATCATAAACTGCAACGAAAGACATTACAAATTACAGTTGATCAGGATGCCAAATTAATAATCCAAAACTCAATCTAGTGCTCAAAGTCCATGCTTCTAAAATTTCTCCAATGGAGATATGAAAGCTTATTGATTATCTACACTGCTGGCAGCTAATACAGGCTGCATACAGAGACACAGATGGCTAATTGGCCTCAGTTGGTAGAGGGTCATTTTAATTAAATTTTATTTAAAATGTATTACAAAAAAATTCAAAGCTGTAATTGAAGGCTTATTATAAATATGGCTCTTCACAGATGACCTGATTTCTATCCCTTTTTCCCCATAGGCCTGATAAACAAAGTGACAGCTGAACTGTCCACGTCCATCTACCAGCTAATTGATGTCTACTGCAGCAGCTTTCATGCAGATTTCCAGCCCCTAAATGCACCTGAAAGGATTTCCTCTGTAAATCCTGGGCTCTATTCCCACCTTAGCTTCACAGTGTATGCAGTTCACAACATTCCAGAGAACTGGGTATGCAGGTGAGTGGTGGTGAGTTTTTCACTGAAGTGTTCATTTTTACATAGCTTCTGTATATAATAAGAGTATGATTTGTCTTATTCTTAACTTGCAGGATCAAATATTGCATACAATTTTGAAATTTAGTCAGCACAGATTTATTCTAATTCTTAAGATCATTTTTAAAAACTTTATCCCTAAGCATGTTCTTTTTCCCTAATTCTCCCATTCTCCACATTAGAAATAACTGCATATGGCTAATATGTCATGGAAACAGAAAATGCTCATTCCACTTAGCTATGGCCTTAAAATGTTCTGTGTGAGTTTAAATTACTAATGCCAACAGAACAGAGAGAGAGAGAGAGAGAGAGAGAGAGAGAGAGAGGTGGGGGGAGAGGGGAAGGGAGCACATATACACACAGGGAGATGGAGAGTATTTCAAAATAGGGAAAATAAATCACTTTGATCCCCATCAGGTTGTAAGTAGTAGATATTTTGTAAGCTTATTACCTTGATAAAATGGAAATTAGCCAAGAGTTGAGTTACAATAGAAATTAACCACAATGATTCATGGACAAAGTCAGATTTTTAGGTTGACTCTATTATGTACTATTTTATTGAATAACATAATTAGAATAATATTATAATAATTATTTTAAATTCCTTATGGATTAAATCTATAAGAGAATGCTGATTAAATCAAAGTTGAAGACACAATAGTAATTTATTAATGGATGTATTGTACCTACTGTATTTAGCATCTCAACAGAAAGCTAAAAGAATTTCAGTGAAAGAAATAATTTTTATCTTTGTTTATATTTTTGCAAATAACTGAACTGTACAAATATTTACAGTGTTAATTAGAAAGGAAACTTCACCTTTGTATGTAAAAAATACTATCTATCTACATGCATACATATTTCTTTAAAACCTATTCTAGATGATGGATTTTGGGTTATGGGTTAAATAATCATACTAGATGATTCTTTTATGCTCTTTCTCTTAATTTAAAGGAGAAGTTAAAGGGCTAATTTATAATTTTATAAATTGCTATGTAATGAGTGTTCTCTTATAATTTTTTAACCATTAATATATACTTACCAATTTTAATTCACATGGAAAAACTGTTGTCAAAGAAATAGAGATAAAGCTATGTACATGTGAAGAGCATGCATTTACATGGGATATGACACTTATTTTTATTAATTTTTTCCTGGTAGTTTTCTAATCTCTTTCATATCTTTCAACTCTAGTATTTATTGTTTTTTACCTTCTTTTAATTTTGGGCTTAGTTTGTTCTTCTAATTCCTTGAGTATAAAGTTAGGTTGTTTATTTGTCATCTTTCTTCTAATATAAGTGTTGACTACTAAAAATTTCTCTCAACTACTTTTGCTTCATCCCATAAGTTTTGGTATGGAGTGTGTTTATTTTCATATGTCACAAGATATTTTTTAATTTCCCTTTTAATTTCTTGTGACCCAGTGATTCAAAAGTATAAATTTCCATATATTTGTGAATTTTCCTATTTTCTTTCTGCTATTTTAGGTTTCATTCCATTGTGGTCAGAAAATAATGCTTGGTATGATTTCAGTCTCCTCAAATTTGTTAAGACTTATTTTGTAACCTAACACGTGACCTATGCTGGAGAATCTCCCATGTGTTCTTCAGAAGAATGTGTATTCTCCTGCTCTTGGGTAGATTGTTCTGTATTTGTCTATTAGGTCCATATGGTCTATAATGTTCAAGCCCTCTTACTTATTGAGCTTCTGTCTGGTTTCTATCCATTGAAATTGAGGTATTGAAATCTACTATTATTGAGTTGCTACCTCTTTCTCCCTTCAGTCTGTCAATGTTTGCTTAATATATTTGCTCCAATTTGGAGTATATATGGTTAAAATTATCATACCATTTTGATGAATTGACCCCTTTATCATACAGAATGACCTCCTTTGTCTTTTGTGATAGCTTTTGATGTCAAGCCTTCTTTGTTTTGTTTAAGTATGACAGCCCTTGCTCTCTTTCAATTGCCATTTGCATGGGATAGCTTCTTCTGTCCTTTCATTGTCAGCATATGTGTGTTCTTAAATTTGAAGTGAGTCTTATAGAAAGCATATGGTTGGATCTAGCTTTTTTATCTATTCAGCTGTGCTATGTCTTTTGATTGTGGAGTTTAATCCATTTATAAGTAAAGTGACTAATGTTAAGGAAGGACTTACTATTGCCATTTTTTTTCATTGTTTTTTGCCTATCTTGTAGGGTTTTTTTGGTCCCTCTTCTCCTGCCTTGCTGTCTTTTGTGTTTTGTTGATTTTGTGTAATGGCGTACTTTGATTCCTTTCTATTTTCTGTTATGTATAAACATATAGGTAGGTTTTTCCTTTGTCTTGACCATGGATCTTACATAAATCATCTTATGTTTTAAAACATTCTGTTTTAAGCAGATAACGACTCAACTTCAATCACATAAAAAACTCTATACATTTTACATATTTTTATAGTTACAGTTTTTTATACTTTGTCCTTTAAATTCTTTACCAGTGTTTGATTCATGCACCACTGTTACAGTATTACAATATTCTGTATTTGTCTATATAGTTACCTTTACCAGCAAGATTTATACTATGCTTTCATGTTGCTATCTAGCATCCTTTCATTTTTGACTGGGAGAGTTTTCTTTATCATTTCTTGTAAGTCAGGTCTAGTAATGGTGAACTTCCTGAGCTTTTCTTTATCTGGGAAAGTATTTATTTCTCCTTCATTTTTAAAGATAAGTTTTGCCAGATGTTCCTGATGGGCATATATTTTTTCTTTCAGAACTTTAGTATATCATCACATTCCCTCTGGCCTGCAAGGTTTCTGGTTTCTTCTGAGAAATCTGCTGATAAACTTATGATATCTCTCTTTTATGTAGCAGGTCACTTTCTCTTGCTGCTTTCAAAATTCTTTGTCTTGACTTTTGGTAATTTGGTTTTAATGTTTTATTGTGTGGTCTTCTTTGGGCTCATCCTACTTTGGCTCACTGGGTTTCTTGAATATGAATGTGCAATTTCTTATGTACCATGGAGACATTTTCAGTCATTATATTTTCATATAAGCTTTCTGACTCAGAATTTCTCTCAATTTCCTCCTCCTGGGACTCATGTAATATGTGTATTTGTACAGTTGATGATGCCTTATAAGTCTTTAGAGTTTCTTTGCTTTTCTTCATTCTATTTCCTTTCTGTTCCCCTGATTGAATTATTTCAAATGACCTGTATTCGAATTCATTGATTCTTTCTTCTTCTTGATCAAGCCTATTCTTGAATTCCTCTAGAGATTTTTTTCAGTTCAATTACAATATTCTTCAGTTCTGTCTGGCTCTTTTAATATTTTCTATCTCTTTGTTAATATTCTCATTTTGTTCCTGCATCATTTTCCTGAGCTTGTTGAGCATTTTTTTAATGGTTATTTTGAATTCTTTGTCAGGTAATTCAGATACTTCCATTTCTTTAAGGCTGGTTTCTGGAGGATTCTGTTCCTTCTGTTGGGCCATATTTCCCTTCCCTTTTTCTTTGTTTGCTTTGTAGCTTTGTATTGAGATCTGTATATTTGAAAAAATAGGCCCATCTCCCAGTCCTTATGGATTGGTTTCATACAGGGAAAGAATGTCACCAATCAGCCCAGCTAGAGATTCTGGGGCCTTTTAAACTTTTGCTGTGGGTTCATCTTCTCTGGACTTGTGTATATAAATTCCCAGTTGAGAGGTTTGCCTTCTTTCTTTAGGAGCTCATATTTTTTTGTTCCCTCTTGTGTCTGCCTGTGGCACTGCAAGTTCTCTGGCGCTGCCGTAAGCTGCCCAGCTCTGTTTTTGTTCTCACTTGCTCCCAGGCATCCAGAGTATGCCAGGTCCCATCAGTATACTGAGTCAGGTGAGACAGAAACCCGTCCCTCATACAGCCCCCTGGAAAAGGCAGGATATTAGATGAACATACACTGTTCCCCCTCCCCTGCCAATGAAGAGGCCACCAACCTGTAGCAGCCTCTGCCTGTGTCCCACAGATCCTCTGGAGCAGCATCAAGGTTCCCAGCCCTTTTTTATTCTCAGCAGTCCGAGATCCCCAGGCAACTAGAATATATCAGATCCTGTCAGCTGAGACAGACAAAACAGAAATCAGTCCATTTGACACCCCCCAGAAAAAGCTGGAACTTAAACACATATTCTAATTATTTCTCTCCCTGGAGAGAAGCCAGGAATTGCGTTTTTTTCTTATTCATTTTACAGTGAGATGGGGCTGAGAACAATGGTGAGTGAGTTTGTGCTAGTTCAAACCACTGCCCCCAGCCTGAAACCCATTCCTATGCAGCACTTGGCTTCAGGCAAGACAGAAACAAATCCCTTGGATATCCCCCTAAAAAGTCTAAATGCTGGACATGTTCTAGTATTCTCTCTCTCCCACCCCAGGGAAATGCTGGGATTTGGGAATTTCCTCAAAATTGGGACCACATGGCACTCTGTGGGCGGGGAGGGTGGGGTCTTTGGAAGATGAGGGACATAAATTTTCGTACTGATTCCTATGTGGCTGATTACATTTTCTTGAGGTGCAGGAGCCTCTTGTTTCTGGATTTTTCACAAAGGGATCTGAATATTGTTGAGTTGGTATCACCATGTGGGAAAGAGCATCTAGGGCCTCATGTTCTGCCATCTTGTTAAAGGCACCCAACATAAATTCTTAAACTAATTTTTGAAGCACACTTTATACAAGCAAACTTCAGTTTGTCATTTGACTTTTAGCAATACATATAATTGACCTATATAGGAAGCTGGTTCCTTTACAGTGTTCAGTTTATTGAATCAGTATTGTTTCTTTTTAGCTATAAAGCATTTTCTTTTTCCTGTTGGCTTACATATGCTGGAAAGAAGCTTTGCCAAGTAAGAAACTGCAGAAATATTCCAGTAAAAAAATCATTTTTTTTCTTGGTCAACTGGAATGAAACGTAAGTTTAATCTTTATTCTGGCAATGCCATTTATCTAATAAAGATCAAGATTTTTTTAAGTGAAGGATGTGATTTTTTTTAAATGTTGCCAGTTGGTTTGATTCAGTTATGTGATAAATATGCTCATGCTAATAGATAACTGACCGTTCAGTTCAACAGATTAAAACTGCATGTAAAAACTTACATATATATCCAATCCACATGAAATTAATCAGAGAGAAATTGGAAAAGGGAGAATAATTAATCATTCACAGACTGTAAATATAAGGAATATCCTCTATTTGGGAGTTGGGGAGGAAGATTCCTGATATAGCAAAGAAGAAAGAAATCTGAGTAGCATATGTAAACTGCATTTTCCCAAAATAGCCAATTAGAAATTTATGTAAACAATCAAGTTTTTGAAAATAATTATCTATGTGTTATGTATAGAATGCCACCTAATTTGGGGTGACTGGGTCTTATTCCTCATTTTATAGAGATGTATTAAATCATGAAGGAAAAGTACCTCCTTGATACTATTCATGGCTTTCTCCTTTCCTCTGTACCCTCCCTCCCTACCTAAAGCCCTTGCCTTACTCAGAGTCCCAGAAGGCTGTAGGCCCCATCTATGGCCTTTTCATGGTTACTACTGCTTTTCCTTGCTGTTCTTATGACACTACTCCACTGACTTTCAGCCATCTCTTTGGGTGGTCCACTGTTTCACCAAGAGCCAATTTTCTTCCCACCTCAAGTAAAAGAAAACTCCCCAACCCACTTTCCATCAGACTCTTACAAAGTCTGGCTTTCTTGGGAGATAATTTGACTCTAAATATTGTGCTTTCCACTGATAAATATGTGCCAAAGTTTCTCAGAGTCCAAAGATAGTGTTAGCACAATTTATACCACTCTTAGTGTTACCACAACCATGGAGACATGTCCTGAGACATGATATATGGCCTCCAATTTTTATACTCCATGGTTCCTCCTATCCCAAAGAAAATCCTCCTTCTTCTAGACTATGACAATTTTTATCTTCCCTCTTTGGTTAAGGTTTTACTTCCTTTGACCAAAGCCTTGACCTTCAGTTACAAATCCCCTTCCATTGCACAGAATCAGTTCTGTTTGTAATATTCCTCAGTGACTCCCCAATTCTGGTAAGGTAAAATATAAATCACTTAGCACAGCACACCAGGCCCTTTGCGGCTTGGCCCTTAACTATCTCTGCACCTTCATCCCTGAAGTTAGCTCCACCGCCTGCCCCACACCCAGCCTTTCTGCACCAAGTCTACTTACCCTATGAACTGAGAAGTCAAGCCTCTCCCAGGGGTCCTCTGTCAATCAGGAATACAGTGCCTTTAATGCCCACCTTGAGAACACCTAATTATCACTCAAGACACTCTTCTTCTACCTTCTCTATAAACACTTTCCTGTATCATTAGAAAAAAATTGGCTACTTTCTTTTGTTGCTTGGTCTGAACGTCAAACTACTCTCTATAGTCCCTTCCTAAATGTGTTCATTTATATTTCTTTAGCTTCTGTCAAATGATGCATAGATTTTTTTTGTTTCTGTTTGTTTTTAAATTTTTTCAGTCTGTTCCCACCAGCTAAAACAGCATCAGATAGATTTAAGAGTCTACTAAGTGTTGATGGGCAAATTAATTAATTTTTTGTAGTAATTGATTCTTTAAAAATGTTACTGACCTCCTTGATCACTAAAAGTATTCTTCTAATTTAATGAAAACTTATTCCTGATTCCTTAACAAAAATATCAATCATTTTCAGGTGACAGATATGTGCCATCATTTAAACAATTTGAGAAAAAAATTAACTAATTTTCGAGTCAATTTTAAAGGAAAAAACCCCAAAATAAATTGAAAATCATTAGTCTTCATAATACATTTTTCTTCTTTCCCTTCAAGACTACATAAGTGCTATTTTTCCTGTGAGAGTTTGACTTTGTTTAATAGGGAATTAGTAGTTTAATAGGGCTTAATAATTCCTTTGATTAATAGAGTTAGTTATCTCAACCAGAATTATTTTTATTTCCATTAAGAACGTTTATTTGCCATTTTTGAGGTGCCTGTAGCATTTTTCATATGTCTTGCTAACATGTATCCACAACACTATAATTAATTGTACATTTCATTGTTAGACTATAAACTTAAGGACAGAAACTTTGTTGTTTAATAATGTGTGACATACATTTTGACCAGTTATTATATTCCATGCCTCATAATACACACCCAAAATGTATTATTATAACTTAACAACAAAAATATGGAACAGGTGCTGTCATCTGCATTTTATAGGTCAGAATGCTGATGTTTACAAAATTTAATGGCAGAACTAGTGCTTAGACCCACTTTCACTCCAAATATGATGTTTCTACTGTGTTTTCCTTATTGTTTCATACAGCATACAAAACATTGGGAAGAGTATTTACATTCTACAAACAGTTCTCGCATCTTAAGTTAAAAAACAAAACAAAACTCTACTCCATATTCACACCAGCAGCCACCCCAGTTTTTACCTCTGCTTTGAAGCAAACGCCCCCAGGAGTTGTCTATATCCACTTTCTTCCATTTTTTTTCTCAGCTCTGAAACATATTCCAGTCAGGTATCCATCACCCTGATGCTCTGGAATTGCATGTTAGAGTCAACAGTGACCTGCAGAGCTAAACCTCATGCTTGTTTGTCAGTCTTCCCCTTACATGATCTGTAGGCGCATTTGGCATTGTTGAACTCACTCTCCATCTTGAAGTAGGCTGTACACTTGTCATTCACATTATTTTAGCCTTTCTCCTCCCTTCATGGACATTCCTTCTCCACCTTCTTTTCTTCTCCCAGACTGATCATGGTCTTAGGACTTACACCCCTTCTCTGTTATATCTATTCTTACTCTTTTATTTGTCCTTTATAGACACATAGTTTTAAATGCCATCCAAAGGCCAACAACTCTCAGATTTATATCTGCATCCCAGGTATCAGTGACAAACTCCACACTTACACACTCAACATGTCTAAATTAAACTCTTGATTTTACATTCAAACCTTTCCTACCTATGGACGGCCACTCTGGATGATCATTTCTAGTTCCAGGTGTTCTTAACATGACTCTCCTTTTCTCAGACTCCCATGTCCAGGAAACACTACTGGCTTGCTCTTCAGAATATTTGCAGAGTATTACTTGTCACCACTTCTGTTGGTCTAGGCCACCATCATCTCTCCCCTGTATACCATGGTGGCCTTAAATGTTCCCTCTACTTATTTTGCATCTTTATAGTCCTTCTCACATGGCAGCTAAAGTGACCTCTTAAAATATAAGTCAGATTATTATAATTATTCTGACTAAAACTTCTGAAATGGCCCTGTTTCACTCAGACAAAAGTCAAAGACTGACAATGGCCTGTTGTTACATATTAGTATTAATAAGGGAGTACTACGCAATGTGACATTTTAATAAAATCTCCCATTTTCACAATCAAAAGTATACTCTAGTTTTAGGGACACTATCTACTATAGAAGAAAAACAGCTTAAGAAACATTTTAGTGTTTATGCATTTTTCAATAGCGGAGTAAAGCAAACATATGGTTAAAAGTTGAGGCCTTTGGCAACTACTTGAATAAAAAGAAACAATCTGACTTCACTTTTTGAATTGTCTATTAAAGTATTTTTCTTCCTTTTTTTTGTCTGAAAGTTCATTCCTTTGATTTTCCAATAGCCATGTAGAAGTTTAAAAAAAAAAATTTCCCAGTGAGTGTAAGATTTTTCTGGCTTTAAAAATCCATATGTATCCAAGAGATGAATAAATAACTATTTAGAAAGCATGTATTCTTAACCTAGAAGAATTTATTTTTATTAATAAAAATGACAGAATAGAGATTGGCAGTAACTATCCACTGTAACTTACCGAATTTTTGTCCATTTTGATATGAAAAGCTCACGAATAAGTGAAGTTTTACATGGAGAAGCCAGACTCAATAGGAAAAAGAGCATTCTAGATTATGTGAGGAATAAAGTAAAACTGTAGCTTTCATCCTAGCACAGAAATATGAAAACTGAATAGAAAGTCAATTATAGGTGAAAGAGAGAACATTCAAGAAATTACTGAGAATTCCACAGGATCATCAATATTTTAGGTTGGTTTAAAGTTTCTTCTGGGATAGCAATTCTCAAAATGGCAGTGTAAGTAGGGTGGCTGAAATCTCCTCTCAAAACCATATAAATTTTGAAAATACAGCAAATACAACTATTCCTAAAAGAGTGACCAGAAGATGCAGTACACAAGCTGGGCTACATCTGTAAAAACCCAACATCTCACGGAGAAGGGTAAAATGCAAAGCCATAACCCAGTGGGACCCGAGCACTCCCCCGACCCCAGCTCACTGGCAGGAGGAAAAGAATCAGGGTAGGGGGGGAGTGGAAGCCCAGGACTGCTAAAGAACCAGCCCTAGTAATCTGCACCAGGAGCACAGACACACATTGCTTCTCTAGATATTAGAGAAGTGGAAAAGCAAAATCCAAGACTGAAACTGAGAACAGATTCCCACAGCTGGCTGCCCTGGGACAAAAGAAAACCAGGCACTTTAAAAGTCTTAAAAGGACAAGGGTTTAACAAGTGGACAAAACTGCCCTGGCACACTCAGTCCAGCAGGCTGGGAACTTTAAGGAACTTCAGGCGCCCTAACCCTCTGGGTGGCAACACAGCTCCGAAGCCCTCACAGCAATAGGCAGCCTGCCATCCCTTTCCCCCCACCTCCAAAGCAAGCAAACCGGCTGACCCGTCATTGCTGCAGAACAGCCGGAGAGCAGCGCCTACAGCAACCACACAGCTTAACACAGAGGCTTCTCTCTGCACACGGCTAACCGGCCCAGACTCAGAGGCTGCACCCTGTGTGTGGTTGACAGGCACAGACAGCGGAGACCAACACAGAGTCCAGGAAGCACAAAGGAGCTTTTTTCTCGTGGCAGAATACATACCACTAGTCTGTGACTCCTGCCAGTGCCCCAGGCCATTCA